ATGCCGACTTGTTTGTCCGTAGTACAAGAGCAGCGCGTTGCCGACGCTACCGCGGGAGCTCAGCTGGCAGACTCGCGCTCTGATTGGTCCGGGTTTTTCCTTAATATCTCGTTAACAAAGCCTGGGAGACCATTTTCGCTAATGAAAAAGTTGTTTCAAATCAACCCAGAAATCACCCCTTTCAAGGGCTAACACCTACTTTGGGACACCATAGATAGGATTCCATACATAGAATTTTTACGAAACATCACATTTTTTTCACATTGACCTGGTGTCCTAATATTACATGTACCAATAAGTAAACCACTACTTCCTGACAAAATCGCTATTCCTTCCCATACAAATCAATGATTCATACTGTTAATTTTATATTGACAGTGATTTCTTTTAATTTCAAATATATCACCTCATGAAATAGTGGATCACTTATTGATCCAGCTGATACTTACGAGCGGTAGCGTACATTCGCCCAACTCTGTCACAATCCACTTCAGAATTTAGAGGGTCGTACAGGGCTGCGAAAAAGTTCCTTACGGTCACCGACGAAAACTTCACGCGTTCGCTGTCACGTCCACCAACGATATCACCCTTAATACTTTGATACCTGTTCGCCAGGGGGATGCGGCTGGGGCTGTGGAACGCTTCGAGTGCAGCCAGTGGGGTGGGGGACAGACTTTCGTCTTCTTTTTTTCTTTACTTTGGAGACGTCCCACTGCCAGGGTGGAGGACCTCGATGCACTTGGGGTCGGGGAGGAGGAGTCTTTCTAAAAGAAAAGAACTACTCGCCGAGACGCTCTCCTGCCAGGGCTTGACCCTTTTTTTAATTGCGTCCAGACCAAAGTTAGAAACAGCCCGCCGCCTAGCTTCCTCGAGTGAAGACCAGAGACTAGAATAAGCGGAGGCGCGACGTGTCGGTGGTCGCCGTTCTCTGGAGGAAATTACACCCGAATCGTACGTGTCTCCTCTGGTTGTTCGAGCGCTGGAAACAAGAAGAAAAAAAAAGGGGCGGAATGCAGAATAATGTGGGTCAGGGTCACTCGAGAGCATCGAGTTCGTTTCCTTTCTTCTTTCATCGTCCACCCCCTCAGCACCCCATCCCTGCCGCTTGAACCGGCTTTTTTTCGTACTTCGAGTTTAATGGGCTCACGTTGTACGTATTACGCTTCTCGGAATATTATTACGAGGGAATTTCGTTGAGCATCGGGATCAGGGCTTCTGGACCGGGTTAGGTTCTTCACGAATGGCTTCGCTGATTATGAGTCTTTAACTGTTCCGTCGTTTAAACGGTTTCGAGCGTAAGCCGGGGCAATTATGTTGCTGGTTGTACGGATTTCATTCATTGCTTCCGGTAGTGTTCATTGACTTTAAGCTGAAATTGAATGCTGTTAGGGGTATGTATTGTACCTGTAGACGTTGCCTTGGAAGTCATTGCAGTAGCTATGGGAACTGTTATTTTCATGAACTTGCTTGCCTTTTCGTTTTGTTGGATAGGGAATGGTATATTGTTTGAAATTCACTTTAATTAGTATTATTATTGAATAAAATGTAAGTCTCGTGCTCAGCATTTCTCATTCAATATTAATATTACGACGACATTTCGATCACATTTCGTGCAATCCTCCTTGCGTTATAATGCTTCCGACCGTGTGTGCCAAGAAAATTGCAAGTTTGTGATTACAGCGCGCCCAGACTTTCTGAATGAGCGGTTTATCGATCCCCGTCGTATGACAAGCGGAGCCCCCGAATGCCAACAATAAAAGTAATATTCGCGTGACTGGAACGCATTTCGGTGTCGCAATACTCACACACACACGTCCATGATATGTTTCTCTGTCGGGAGCACAATTTACCGGGTACACTATTAATAAATAAGCACGAGCCTATTAAAGAATATTTATCCTCCAATTTACACACTTGGAAACCTACTTACTAATCGCTCGAAAATATACGTCAAGTCACGAAACCCGATACAACTTATATATTCGTATAGAAATTTTCCACGTAGAAAAACAAAATCTGTTCATCTATTTCCACATTTATACGATTCAAAGTATCTACCTGTCCTATCAGTACATTTTATTGCGATCATTCCTTCGCGTCACGATTGCTGTTTCGACGTTTCCTCGAATCGATAGGCATCGGTAATGGTGATCGATATTCCGCCATCGGAATGACACGGACCGAATAAATGTTTTATACGCTACTTTTTCTTAACGCTCTCGGCATCCATCAATCAGAGAGGGAATAGTAAACAAAACTGGGTCAGCTACGAAAATAATCCGAACAGTGTAGAACCTTAATACTCTCGTTGAAACTTTCACGACGATGGAAAACCAGACCGCCGTTTCATGACTCCACACGGTGAATCCCACAGGGACAGTACGAATATTTATTTGTTAGTTTACTTTTCACGTCGATTCTCACCTCGTTTTCGCACGTAGCCCGTAGTTTATCTGTGGCTCACCACCGAAAAATTCCGAATAATCGAACGAAACGAGCCGATGCTCCGAAAGTCTGGCCACGACTGTACATATTTCACTTTTGTCAGCGTTCACAGTCACGCGAGTAAGTTCTGTCAATAGCGCGTGATTGATGGTTGTGTACACACTGTCGACAAAGCGAGCACGCGGAACCAGCGCTTCGGTGGTAAAGTTCGGTAAACAAACTTCACACTTTATACCTTGCGTGTTTCCGAGTACCATCTTCGCCGGGTACTGCAACTCAATTTTTTCGAAACACTGGTTTTACGTTCACGTCGATGAACTTTTTTCATGTTTTTTCCCCTTCGAAGGAAACTATAGACTCTTTGCAAACTATTTCTCTCTATAACGAGTAATTTGTCTCATGACGGCAAAGCTTCGAAAATATGTAATCTCTGCCAAACATTAGATTTTCCAGAGGCCCGTAGGTGACCTGGTGCTTACGAAACGGCGGTGTACGTATAACAGTTTTCATTTAGGGGGCTTAAGTTGCTAGTTTTGCTTTCGTCTCGGTTGTATCAAGTTAGAAGTAGTTGCTCGAAGTTCCGGCTGGGTCGAGCTAACGCTAGAAACGGCGAGACGAACCTCCACCCACCCACGGAAGCGGGATATCGATGCAGCCTGTGTAAGAGGGGTTGCGTTTGTAGGCGTCGCGAACGTTTCTGCTCCTCTTCCTTAAGCTCATCAGCCGAAGGGTTTCGACGGAAGTCAGCCGGTTGTGTAATAAATCGTTGTTAAGCACTCGCATCGCTGCGTAGATTAACCCACTTCGCGACACGGAGGGGAAATTTTCTGATGCGACAGATGTACAGAGTGGTTTTAAACTGATGTCGCTAAATATACTCTGCCAATTAGTCTATAATATACAGTGACTATCGAAAGTTATAATATTCGAACGATAGAATTCCGTATTTACGGTGATGATCAAAACTATTTAATTATTTCGTATTATTATGTAAATATCGTTTTCATACAATTGATTTTTCGAAAGAAACCTGTCGAGTCTCTGTGTGGAACCTTCTTTGGTAATAATAACATATGTTTATGTTAATTTTATGTATAAATTGTAAAATTTATTTCTGGTGTGATTCTCTTAGTATATTTTTCTTGAATGAATGTATAAATTGTTATGGAGAAAGTATTCCAAAAGCTTCTGATGTTACAAAAAGTAGTAAGTCAATCTTTGAGTTTATCGGATAACCTATGAATCGCCATTTTGTTGCACCGGATATATTTCGTGATACAAGTTTCGAATCGCTCTGTACTCCATTCGACTAGGATATTAATAAACCACCGAAAGTAAGCAAGACCGCAGGTCAATTTGCGCGGCTTAGAATGCCTGAGCAGCGTATAATTACGGTTCACGGATAAATTAGACAGCGCACGATCAACCTGCGGCGATCGTAAGCACAGTTTTCAGAATGTCAAGGGTGTTAGCCTTATCACGCGTTAATTAACTGCTAATTGTACCTCGAAGTGCAGCGGTTTATCGCTGGAATTGATTCGAATTTACTAGGGGTATTTTGCATGTTTCATGGATATCTCAGTCAAGTGAACAATTAGAAAGGACAATTAATATTAATATCTTACCGACTACGTAAGAGCATAGTACACGTACAGGATGCTCCAAGAAAATGTGGACCGAACTTATCTTAACCCTTTATGGCTAATAAGAGCAAATTTTTAATTTTTACTTGATAGTGATTTCTAGACTGTATATTTCACGTGTGTATAGTAAATTCAAATCTGTATAATAGAACGAAACAAAAGTCTTTGTAGAAGTCTGTTGAAATATTTTTTCTTGTATCCTTAACTTACTAAAACCTGTAACAGAAGAAAATATATATCTTCTTTTGATTTCCACCTTTTAAATTGCTAGAATTTCTAATGCTATAATCAACTTTGCAGTGATTTCCGGTAGATAAATTCGGCCCTTAAAAGTACAAAGGTTTCCATTACATGGATACGAGAAAAACGAAAACGATTATTCATTGAAGTCCAGGGAGAAAGTTACTTCTCACCATGATGATCCGTAAACACTGCCATAAGGGGTTCGATACCGGAACCATCGAAATTCCTCCCGAATCTGGAGGGTGATTAATGCATCGGCTACGATTCACGGGGGCAGTTTTATCGTAAATCTTTCAAGCAACGTGTACGAAAATTCGTCGATCCGTGCGCAAAAGAACGCGTAACACGGATTTCCTTTTAAGAGCACACACACGCGCGCGCGTGTCGCTTGATCGAGAAAGGGGTGAAAATCCAAATGACGATCGCCGGCCGTAAGCTCATTAGAAACCGTAGAGTCGTGCGGGTAACGCTAGTTTTCCGAGCCGGGGTGGCCATTTTCTCGCCGACTAGAACCGGAGAAGGGTGTACCGAGCCGAAAAAGAAAACAAAAAAAAGTAGAGCAAAAAAATTAAAGAGAGTAACGTAATGGATGCGGATTTAGAGATCGGTAGAGGTATTGTCGAGACACGCGATTAACCATATCCCCACCGATGTCTATCTTTCCGAAAGACCCCGAGAACACGGAAGCGGCGGATCTGCAGAGGAAGCTTGGGATGCTGAACAACATGATGGACCAGGAAGCACGAGCCGAACAGGCACGACGACAGATATTGTACAATATAAGCCACTGTAAGTACTCGCCAAGTTACAGTTTAAGTGGCTGCTGTTTTATTCGAATAGGACTCTCCGACAAGAGAGGGAATGTCCCCATCAATTGCTAAACTCTTGACTCGGATCACTCGTGCGCCGTGGCTTGCGCTAATTTTTGTATGCTTTCTAGCCATACGGTATTATGTGTGTATACTGCGCGTAGGGACGTTCTGGAATTGGTGAGAATTTTCTTCGGAAACTTTTGGTACGTTGAATTTCTGAAAAATGGATTTGGGTTGCATTCACTTGTATGGAGATTCTATCGTGTTTATTGTCTTGTGATCTGGATTGATCGAATTAGTTTTTAAATGGATCTTTAGTACTTCGCGAACATCTGTTTAGTATACTTTGGGTTTTGTAAAATAAATCGTGGAATATTTTCTGAAATGGAGTTTCAAAATGCCTCTCCTCGTGTTTATGTCTACGAACGTAATTTTTAATAATCGAGCAAGAAATTTGCATAGGTTATCACAGAAAATAATAGTTTGGTCTAAATGCCTGCTAATTTTGTAATATGTTAGAATATACGACTTTCGATTGACAGTGGTTTCGTATAACACTTTTGTATCTACAAGGTATTCCTTTAAAATAAAATTCAATATTTCATCCTTTTCTTTGAAGAAAAAAAAAAATTCTCGCTACTTGTAAAAAATCTCGCAAGCAGTCAGTTTTCGCGATTTTTTCGTTCCTTGTCCATTGAGAAGTATATACACGCTTGTATCAACAATATATCAGCATACATGCATTTCTTTATTGTAATATGCTTTGATCGTAGAAATTATTTATTCGCACCCTGTATCGTACTTAACATTAAGATTCCTGAGTGAACAATCGAGTATTAAATTTATTTGAAGAATTCGAACTTTAGTAACGAGTCTATTACACACCTTACGTAACGATTTGCGACATACTAATAAAATTATGCAATTCCAGGCCCTCTGGCGATATTATTTTTCAAGAATGTTAATTTAAATTCCCGAAGGATTAATTTTCGCGCGTGCAACATTGTAACATGGTGCAAGAGTATTCACGAGCGCGTGTGAAGACGCCATCAATACGCCTTATGTTAATTTTTGCGCGAAGACGTGTGTAGCCACGGCGCCGAATGAATATATTCATGTCACCGCGACAATTATTTAACTGTTCTTTCAATTTTATTCCGTGGAATAATTTCGCCGTTCGCGCAATTTTCGTGTCGTCAAAGCCTCGACGCGCCCGGTTTTTCGCGCGAACAAAAAAAGAAATCGATTCACCGCCACGCTTCAGTTCTATTTTTTTTCTTTTTATCAGCGATCAGCGAGCACAAAAGACCGCTTTATGCAGTCGCAATTGCATTATCGACTAGGTGTGTGCCGTGTACGTTTTCTCTGCAACATGTGCAACATGAAACGCAGCTCCGATTGTCGTTGCCGACCATCGAACAAATCGTCGGTAACTTACCCCCCGATAAATTCCATCATTTCCTCTTCAGAGATCTCTCTCTTTCATTATCAATGATCACTACACCCCTTAGCATGGTACCAGTTCGATGATATATATTCTTTCCCTCTGCTCATGCGACAAATTAAATTTTCAATTCCCCCTCCCCCACCGCAGACGTGTCGAGCATACATAACATACATATATTCCTAGATGTTATCAAATCGCATGGATATTAACTATTTCTGTCTGCATCCCGCCCCCCCCCCCGCCCCGCTGTTGCACACTGTTTCTGTTCTCGGATTCCAATATCGACCAATTCCAAGCCCGAGAAACCTGTCGAATCGTTGCGGTCGATCATCGAGACGTCAATAATTCTCACTCGAGAAATGACTAAAGAGAACAGAAGATATTTATTCCTTATTATACTTTTGTCCGTTTATAATCTCGCAGAAATAGAAGACAAAAGGCTGACCGTGGTTCGCTTTGTGTATTCCCCTGTTTAGGACCATGTTGTCGCTTTATCGTCTACATACCATGTGGTACGTTTAATTTTCCATGAAGGAAGGAACGATTTTGCAAGTGTGTTTAGGATTTTGATCGTTTAGATAATGTTTCGTCACTGGCACCAGTTAACGTTAATTTTTTTCTTTGTATTAAAGTTTTTTTTTTGCTCTCTCTGTCTCTGTCTTTCGATAGATAGATAGACTACGAGAGCCCGACGATCGTTCCAAGGGATTAGCTTTGTTTCCCGTGATAACGTGAAATTTTCATTGGCTTTCAGCCGGTTACTCGGAGGATTCAGACTATACGTCGGACTTGAATTATCCAGTAGGCGGACAAGGCGCAAACAGCTCGGCTTCGCAGTTTCGTACGGCCGCAAACCAATTGGCCACCCCTCAGAGATCCCTCGAGACCTCGAGAGAAAATAGTTACGAGAGGGATGATCATCAGGTATTGATTCCGTCTATGGTTCTACTATTCATTAATTACTGTGCCAACCGTGGCCGCCTTCGTACGATCGGGTCGATGATTTTTATTATTGGAATAGTTTCCTACTGATTCGGATAAACGGGGTGCATTCAATCCCTTGTTAACGGTTCCTTATTCTCGCTTTAATAACTTGGTAAAATGAGACACATCATAGCTCGAAACGATAAAGATGACAGTTTTCCGTAAATTGTTAATGAACAGTAGTACCAAATGTCACTTGAATACTTTATGCTAACTGTGCTTATTTTCGTGTAAATGTACATTTTATAAAGTAATTCAGAAGGACAGGGACAAGGGCAAGAATTTCTTTATTCCCTTAAGAACCCTACTGGGTCAAGAATAAAGTGGAAAACCTGTTGCGTTCGAAGAAAGTTTAGTCTTTTATATTTCACAGAATCATATAAACTGTATATTCATAAAATCCGCAGTCTATTTATTATATTGGTTTTGTAGGATATTAACTTTAGTTGTATGAGTAAAGAACAAGTATTTAACTTTGTGAATATATAGATTCAGAAACTAGTGTCTTAAAATGATAAGTTATATGTTATAGAAATGTGTAGGAATAGTTTTCATTATAATAAGGGGAAGTTTAAGATTCTTTGAGAAAGTATGCATCACAAAATGGATTGCCAAAGTCGCCGGATGCAGAGAAAGTAATTGAAGGATGTGTGATTAGATTCCAGCCACAGGTGGGGGAAGACTGGCGCCGAGTAATTACATGCGTTGCATCGGATTGGGCAACAGTCCTCGTTATGACGAACCGTATCCCGAAGAGGGTCCACCGCAAAGGTATTCTCAGTCTCAGCACGCTTCAGAATCTTCCGAGCCACTCTTCTACAATAGTAGACCAAGACACTATAAGGAATACAGGTATTTGACATTTAACCAGCCCTTAAACGACCAAATACACACAGAGAATCAATATAAATTAACACACGTTACAAAGAAAAAGAACAATTCTTCAATGAAACATATTACCAGCTCTCTTTTTTTTCTTCTTCTTCTTCTTCTTCTTCTTCTTTGCACTGCAAAGCTATCCTTTAGTTTCGATTTATACGATCGATTATAATGCAATAAATACAGGGCTGTGCATTTCATCGAGGTGTATACTTTTTTAAAAGAAATATTTTCTTTGTGCACACGCACGATTCGTATTCAAGTGAAAATCTGTTGCACTGCCCTGAATCGCGAGGTACTTGAAGAAAATTGTTTATTGTTTTTTGCTTGATTCAGACGACGGAAGCACACGTGGGATTACGAGGACAGGTACGAATGAGTACCCCAGCAAGCTTCGTGAGAAAGTTCTACGATTTTCATCGCTTCGTTCAAGTTTAGATCACACGTTTCATCTAGCGGTTCTGTTCATTAGCGTGCCACACTTAGATCGATCTTGTGTCTTGGCGCACTGTCGACGTAGATTTTACACGCAATAACATTGTCCAGGTGTCAGACACATGAAACACGATCACTGACCAGAACATTCTTATTCTTATAGACTGCAAGGAATACCGCTTAGCTGACGTACGATTATTTTGAAATTTTGCGCAGTCGTAAACTGCTTGAAAATATTTGACGTGTATCCTTTATCGATTGATTTTCACATGTATAAGACACAAGTAGAGTTCAATTAGATATATAAGTCAAATCTTACGTGAACACGTAATATTTCATCAAATTCGCCGTGCAATATCAGTTCAGTGATATTTCTTGTCTCTACGTATCGACTACATTCTATCACTGCTGGTTCATTCTGTCCTCATATTTTTTTAATCAGCGAGAAAGTGGATGGATCGTTCACAGATATCTACTTCGGTTTCACAGAATAGAATTCGAATGGAAATAGATGAAATGTAGAACGTCGTGATTAAAATAAACGATTCGTGTTTAATAGATCAAAGAGAATGCACTGAACATTCACAGGTAGTTGCATGGCGTAGTCACTGTCGCTGCAGTGTTCAACAAAGTCCATGGGAGTGTCTTTATACCAACCGCGCCATAATTCTAACAAGCATAATTTCTCTCGGATCATTTCATTCACGCTTTTGTCGCTCACATGTAACCGTTACGACTTTGTTTCACATTTCCTCCGATGATTTCAGCCAAGACGGCTGGTACAGCGAGGGTTACGATTACCATGGCACGACGAGAGTCGACGAAACGAGAATCTACAGCGACACTGAGTTTTATCCAAGTACCACAACCAGCTCCTCTAGACGAAGAGGTAAGATATACTTCAAAGATTTAACTTATGATTCGATGATTCAGACTTAACTCAATTTTTGTACACGATATTTACTTATACATATAATATATTCATTCCTCTGAACAACAAAGAAACTTCAAAACTGAAATTTAGATACTCCTCTACTTTATTATTACAACTCTTTATTCTATCCTCCTTCGGAAGAAATGGAGATTACATTAAAAAGTACATATTAAGTTATTCTAAATTATAGTCTGTCAACGAAAAACATTAAATTTCCAATGACTTACAAATTTATAATCAAAATTCGTTCTACTTCGAACTTTACGGTAACAATTCTACCACCCTATACAGAACGCACCCACAGACGCCCGTCTCTCGAAAGGCAGATGACTTTATACGATGATCATTCTTACTACACCGACGGATACAGTAGCGACGGAAGGGTGGGCAAGATGAGCGCCACGTATCCAGAATGCCAAACGGACATCAGATACAATGAGTACTACGATAGCATCACGGGATATACTTATCAAGATGAAAGGTAAGCATTCCGTGTATTATCCTGCCTTGTCGTTCCACGCTTGTATTCATCGATTTTATTCGATCGTATGTAATTCCGACATTACGCCCGGTTGTAGGTACGGTCAAGATGACGAAGATAGACAGTGGGACAGCGGAGGGAAGTGGTGTTTAGGGACTAGTACCTATTACGAGAACAAACGGAATAGAAAAACGCTTCCACAGAGGCCTGCATCTAGTATCGGTATTCATCGACCGGATTATAGACCGACTGTCACCAGACAACGGAGTTACGAATCGGATGAAGTGAATTATAGGTACGTATCCACCAGTTTCTTCGCTTCTACAGGGTCATTACTCGAATAAAATTACTTCTCATTGGAAGTCGTTGATATACCATGTTTCCTCTAAACATATGTCCTTATTGCGGATTAGTCTTCTTTACAAGTAAAATCTATTCTCCAAGTCGTGTTTCTAACTGTAAAAAAATATGTCTGGTTCATTTAAATTGGCGTAAACGCCTAACAAAAGCTGACACAATAAGTTTTCGGTGTATACTTTACAATCTAAAGGAATATGGGCTTCGTTTAACAACACCTGAAAAATTTACTACATAATAATGATTGATTGTTTCGTCGTTACAGTAGCCACAGTCGTCGTCGAAAGCCACTTCAGCCGCAGCAACGGCCGCCGTCCCGTCAGGAAGGGACAGGCAAGAAGCTGCCGCCAACACCGACGACGCCCAGCAATGTGATCATCAGTCGTAAGCTTGCCTCCTTACCTGCCACACCGAGCAGGCAACTGCCAAAGACTAGAACGTCCTCCGAGGAGAGCTACTACAAGTCTGACTACAACGAGGACTATAATTACGCTTATCGCAGCCAAGACAACTTACCTCAGGAAACTTACATAGATAGCGTATACACCGAGCCGAGTAGCTACGGTCAGGTGCACGCGACCATCAAAAAACAGTACTCCGAGGACAGCCAGTATGGGTCCAGCTACAGGGCCCAGGTCGACGACCAATACGGTCATTCGTATCAAGAACCCCCGACGCAGGACACGTACGATCAGACGTACACGCAAAACGCATACAAGGACGAGTATCAGACGCCTTACGTTCAGCCGAACACTCAGGTTTATCCGGACACGTATCAGGACACGACATATCCAAACACCAGCCAGCCAAACGATCAGTACACTAGCCAGCCGAATGATCGATACGCGAAACCGGGGATCCATGATAATTACCCGGCGATGGGTTACGAACAGAATAACGGACAATACCAAGACCCGAAGAAATCGCGTACGTACAAAGAGGAGACCTACAAGGAATCGTACGACGACTACGGTGTCTCCGTCCCGTCGAGTGTATACGATCAGAACAATGTCACGAACACGTACAATCAATATCAGCCGGAGACCTATGATTCACAGTACATCAACACTTCGACTGGCTATCAGAAAACATATCCTGACACATATAATCAAGAGACGTATAATACAGAGGATTACAGTCAGGACAGTTATAACCAGGACACGTATAATCAGGGTACATATAATCAGGAGACGTACAGCCAAGATGCCTATAACGTGGACACTTATAAGCAACAGGACACCTACGGTCAGCAGGGAACGTACAACCAACCGGATGTTTATAAGGATACGTACAATCAACAGGACGTGTACAAAGACACTTACAACCAAGGAGATACTTACAAGGATACTTATAAGGATACTTACAACCAACAAGATACTTATAAGGATACTTATAAGGATACTTACAACCAACAAGATACTTATAAGGATGCTTATAATCAGCAAGACACGTACAAGGAGACGTACAATCAGCAAGACCGGTACAAGGAGACGTACAACCAGCAAGACACTTATAAGGATACGTACAATCGACAAGATGAGTATAAGGACACTTACAACCAGCAAGAGAGTTACAAGGATACCTATAACAAACAGGACAGTTACGAACAGCCGGATGTGTACAAGGACACTTACAGTGAACAAGATTCTTACAAGGATACCTACAATCAAGAGGAAGTTTATAAAGATACTTATAACCAGCAAGACGTTTATAAGGACACTTACAAGCAGCAAGACGTTTATAAGGACACTTATACCCAGCAAGATGTTTATAAGGATTCTTACAACCAGCAAGATGTTTATAAGGATACTTATAATCAACAGGATACTTACAATCAAGAAGACGCATATAAACAAGTACCAGTCACGTCACAGAGTAGTTACGAGGAGACGTACGATAAAGGGAAGGATTACGTCGATTATGAAACACCATACAGCAAAGAGGAATCAGTCAGCACGACGTACAAGAATGACTATCAGGAACCATATCAGGATTATCAGTACGAGGATTCGTATCACGGTTCGTATCAAGGATCCTTCGAGGAACGTTACAAAGAGAGTCCAGTCGCCAGTACAGAAAGACGTTCAAGCGAGGTACCAGAGTTGTCGGTGACCACGCCAAGAGGTCAGACCAGAACCAACGGCTACCAGTCCGGCGAGTCGGACTACTATTACTCTTCCCAAGAGAGCCACGATGTGTCGTCGATTGGCCTAACGAGGAGGAAGAAGCTCACTAAACAGGATCCAAGCCCTCTCCTTCAGCAACACACCGACTCTCTGGAGTCTCGTGACGACGAGCTGAAGGACACCATCGAAACTACCGCGAGCTCGATAGGTAGTATCCAACAAAAGAAGGGGATCAGTGATTATTCGACACCCACCGATTCTACTCCTGCCGCGAGTGTTCTAATCGAGTCACCGCCAACCTCTGTGGTGCAGCCTATGACAACTATGATGAACCACGTGACGCCCAATCACATCACCAGTATGACGGTAACGGCAATGGTTCACACGCCGACCATGGCGAACGGCAAACGTTTGACGAGAACCGATTCCTACCACGAGGAGGTTATCGAGGACGAAGAGTATCCGGAGATCATACCGAAAGAACCACAAAGAAAGGATTCACAGCTGTCGCATCAGAGTCAACTCAGCCAACACTCGCAGCACAGTCAACACTCTCAGAAACCGAAACTCACCCGGGGGGATTCTTACGCTTCCGATCACTTCCCCGATGAATCGTACAGCAGACGGGGCTCGTACGTCCAACCGACCAGGAAGGACTCGTTCTCCTCGACCACGCAGGAACCACCGTTCAAGCCACCTCTCACCAGAACAGACTCGTATCAGAAGAGAGGCAGCTACGGTCAGAACTTCACCACCCCTCAGCCTATCTCCAGAGCTGAAAGCTATCAGCGTGGATACTTCAAAGATCAGGAGTCTATAGAAGAGCCGGAAGTTTCATTGAGCAACGCGGTTAATGATGATTATAAGATCAGAGACGACTCTCTTGAGAGGTAATTGAACACTTATGATGTGGTAAAATGTCTGTAGTATCAGGGTTGAATTCGAAATGTTAGGGGAAACGGTATACCTAATTGTCTTACGACTGTAACGTTTTCTTCATGGAACCATTAAATAAAATTTTTAAGGATTGCGTATGGGTTTCGTCCAGTAATAACAATATAATTTTTTATATTTTTCGTAGTAAGTTGATGAGAGCAAGTGTATAAGTTACAATTCTTTAGACCTGTCTCCATTGAAAAAATCTCAATGCGTGAAAAGACAGTCTCGCAAAGATAGAAGATAAAAATATGAGAATACCATTTTTTTATTGATCCCATCGATTGTTTACTGAGTTCTTAATGAAAAGGGAAGGTAATAACTATTTTTTGGTTATATTTCTGTGAAAAGTATCGAAAGGCACGCGAGAGACGAATTAAAATGATTTACATCTTGTTTATTTTCCAAGGTACGAGCGTGAGGAAGAAGCGATGCTCCGTGGCTCTCGAGAGGACTCGTTAGTGGACACATACAAGACTACACCGCCGATGTCGCACACCGACAGCCCTCGTGGTAAGACTGTACTCACGGCGTATAATATCTGATTTATTAAGTGTACCAATAGGTAATATATTCTTGCTTATACATAGAATATTTATTTCTGAATCTTAACAATATTACTTATCTTTCTACAGTATTCTTTCTTGCTTTTTTCCAAGAAGAAAGAAAGGTACATGTATTGCATTTAAGTTATATTAATTTGTTATTGACTCATGTAGTGCAATACTCATTGGTATACCTAATATAAACATCGAAGGTATTCGAATAACATATTTCCGTATCTATATTGTTGTAATAAATTTTTCATAATTTGGATGCATATTGCTTCACACTTTTTTCCTCAAGACTGTATATACAGGATCAGTCGAAATTTTGTTTATATTTATATGGAAAAGAGAGATTGAGTTCGAATACTTTCGTTGCTTACTGTACATAGCTCGTATAAAGCAAGTGGTAAATTGTTAAATTATTTGCAAACAGGGAGCATAACGAAGCAAGCTTCGTTGGAAGAAAGTGTTCAGATGGACACTCCGCCGAGGAGTCCACCGGAACCACCGGCAGACGAGGAACTTCTTGAGATGGTTGGTGCTGTACCAGTGCCTACGCAGCTTAAGGAACGACCGGAAATGACGTCGAAGCAACGGTGGCATTGGGCCTACAATCAAATCGTCATGCAGCTGCGGGTGAGTGACATTGTGCAAACAATATTTCATTTCATAAATTGTTAACATGTGAAAACAATCATCGAACAATTACTCATTAAATTTCATCGTTTAATGATTAATAAACTATTAAGTAAAAAGGGAAATACTAATATTGTTACACTGATAAGGAATAAGCTGACAATTTCGGACATATGTGAGTAGATTACTATAGCATCTGTTATTACAGTAATTGATGAGTTAAATTACTTTTCCTTTCATTTCTACGAAGAATAAAGATTGACGATGACAGATGCAATTTTCATTGGAACACTAACTCCAGTTCATTGAAGGATTTCAAAATTATTTTTCGATATAGCCTCCTCATATTTTAATATACCTATAGAAATAATAACTTGAAATAGGTTTTCTGAATGATCCCACAGTAAGTAACGATTATACCGGAAGTAATTGGACCTTTTTACTTATAACGCTCCAAGGATATGAATTCCAATTGTCCATTTATTCTGTATCGGTCTAACAAAATTAAAAATAATAGAACTGACTACAGATCTGAATGAGTAGCAATCTGTATCTATCAGACGAAATTAGGTCAAAATTCGTTCCTCTGATCAGAACTATTAATACGATTGTACAGGTGATAGCTATTTATAATTGTAGATCATAGGGAAAATAACTTTCCATTTCATTATTACGCTAGTCAACGACCTCACTCAGGCGACCTTCCGAAAAATGCGGCGCCGGATACCGGGCGACCCGCATTTCTCCGGTAGTCCTTCACAGATACAACGTTGGCCTTGTCAATCATTACCTTCACGGCGTATCGATTCGTCACGTACTGTTGTCACGGGTAGAAACTCCAACGTACGGGTTCGCCCGCTTTATCACCTCTATAACATGTCATTCATCGTCAATTGGAAGGTCGCGACGAGTCCGTTGATCCCTGCCGTAATGAAAGATCCGTAGACTAGTTTCGTAAGTCACACTCGTGTCGTGAGTCACACGAATATTACTTAGGTATATACAGACTGTTTAAAAAAATTTTTTTCAAGAAATGTGGACCGAGTTCGAAATGCGCTAAAAAGTAGAAATTAATTTAAATCAACGGTTAAGAAATCTTACTAAATAGTTCTAAACAGTTTAACTCTGGCGTCATCAACTGATATAGTACCGATTGAAAATATAACAGCTTGAGCGTAATAATTCTTTGAAGACCGATTTCTTTAGAATTCTCTGCATCAATTAACGAAGAGTATGGATTCCTTAAACGTTATTTTCTTAAACATTCGTTAATTAACAGAGAAATTGCTAAAGAAATTGATCTTCAAAGAATTATCGCGGTCAAGTTGTTACAATTTCGTTCGGTACCTACTGTATATACGCTCCATTCGCCTGGTCCTTATCACCAAAGAAAACACATACTTTTTTAGACCACGTTCACTTCTCTTTTTGAAAGATCCCTTATGTAATTCAAATACTAAGTTTTTCTACACTTTTCGATACATTCGAACTAGGCTAAAATAAAAAGAAATTTTTTTTTACCTTCCCCATATATAATGCAAATGGGTTAACTTAAAATCAATTCAGACCTAATCAATTCCGAAAAAATATACAAAAGTATAATAAACAAACCAGTAACGAAATCACTCGAAACTCAAAACGTGAACTCCATATACCTCAAACAAGCATCAATCATAACTAATTATAATAATGATTCATTACCTGTTACCGTCCCAGAAAATCGTGACGCACTAGCTTATAAATTACGGAGGTAACGCATCGTCAGGTATCACGTTGGCGGTAACACTTCCATTGTTATCTTTACGAGCCACTGTCGTTGTACAATGAATGTTCATTAACGTTTTATCGTTCGTTGCTGAGAGAAAATACGAGGTCACGCTGTGTCGGTCGAGGATCCATCATTCAGCGAGGTAAAAAACATCGGAACAGAAGCGGATTCAATCACGGTTTCGCTCGGGAAAGGGAGAAGCAGGGTGGAAAAATAATTTAAAGATCGGACGAAGGAATCCTCCGTCGAATAAAGTGGCGTGCGCGTTATCGGGGCCGTCTCGTCGCCTTGAAAATGGCGCGTCGCGGCGATGAGTGGTGGATTAACAGGGACCGACACGAAACTTCCATTAACGCAACCTTGTCGCCCAATCGTGGCGCCCTAAGTACGCACCTGGCGTGCAACACCCTTGGGAGCCGTCGGAGTCGATTAACACTGGAGGAACTCTCTCTCGCCCCCCGCCCCACAATGGAAAATGTAAATTCTCGATGTGTGGCCAGGCGAGGGGACATTGTTCAGAAAATTGCTGTCAACTTATGAATATACGTTGCTGCCAGTGTCGGATCAGATTGATACGGCAGTCGATGAACGAGGAAGCTTAAACGATGTCTTGGTTATCGGAGAGATTTCTTGGGGCTGGATCGATAGATGTTTGAGGAATTATTATTTCTTTCTGGATTACTCGAGGAAGTGACGGGGGAGTTGAGTGGACATCGATTTTCTTCATCAAAGACTTTGTAGGATCATTGGTGGAGCATAAATTTTATTTTCAGTTTTCTTTGCCTTGTGCTTCGAACTCTACTCCAGGAAGTCAGCTTATTACTACTATTATGTTATTGCAATGTTTAGAACAATTCAGGTAATAGAATTTCATGGGAATTTGATTTTTAGCTATTCGAATAGGTCTATTGATTTTTTATTATGAAAGACTTTCAGGGATTATAAGTAGAGCATAAATTTTGCGAAATATTTCATTACAGTTTTCTCTTCCCTGTGCTTTGGTCAATATTCAACGAAGTCTCTCTATTACTATTTTATATTATTTAACCATTGAGGAAAATTACGATAATAGAATTCTGTGGGTATTTTATTTTCAGTTATTTGAACTTGAGAGTTTTCTTTTTAAGCGAATTAGAAAGGGGGGTAGCAGCGATAAGGACTGTTTGTTTAATGTTCAGCCGCCAAAAATTTTACCGGAAGTTTATCCCCATCCGGTGCAGTTGCAATGGTCACGAGTCATTTGCATTTCCCGTCGAATCGATTGACTGAGTGCACCGCTCGCGCCAATGCTGCGCCTCGCGTCGCATCTCCTTGTGCCGCGTTTAATTACAAATTTTAATTCTACAATTAAGGACGACGTAATTCAATTTAGACCGGCTGGAGTGGAACAGCTGGGAAGGTTGAGGATGGGCTACGACGGCATAAGGGACGTTTTATTGAACATGGTTATGATTGGAGATAATGAAAATGTATGACGAGATGATCGCGAAAGAGAATTTATAGATACACCTACGATATAGAGATATATAGAGGGTTCTCAAGTAATAAATGATAAAAGTGTTACAGCTCCTCTTACCTATCTTAAAATCAAGAATATTCCAATAAAGTTTCACAGTTCGATTCCCTTGCAATCTAATCAATTTTAATATTATGTTCCAGTCCACTTAGTATTTCGAGAGGAAAATCTATCTTTCGTAAACTGAAATTCTAAAATTCACACTATTTTCTACGACACCTCCACACCCAGCTTTCGGATCGGAATTTTTTCCATTAAGAAACATTACACGAACTAAATATCTTATTTAAACAGAGTGGTCCATGAATAACCCCGTATAATTCTCATTACCTCATGCTGACCAAATCACTCGTTGCAACGGCAGTACCAGAGCGTTTAGTTCAAAATGTAATTTGTATCTGGAACACAATTACAATCGATCAATGGTATACCAGACATAGCGACTAACATTGAAATTAATTCATTCGACTGAAATTCTTGTTGAATATTGTGTACGCTGTGAGTCGTGAGAATTTCTCAGGATCCCATCGCGAATTAACTTCATTTCTCGGCTACCATTTTTTTAATGATTCAGTATCCTCGCTAAAAAGAACATATAATTTGCAGTCTTGTAATCACATTTACATGCCTATGTTAAGGGTTAATTTTGTACGAAAATAACGTCTTCTGTAGATGGAAAGAATAGATCGTGTCAGTATTAATCTTTAGCGCTCCCTGCATCTATATATTTCTGCCTTCAATAGCTGACGCTGTGAAAGTGAAATCATTCAGGTGTAGTAAGATTTCTTTCAAATAGCCTTGAACTAAAAAAAAAATATCTCAACGATCTACTTATTCTCATAAAAATATATACACTGGTAAATATCCACATCGCATAAGTACGTATTTAATGTTTAAACAGATCAAATGTAACAGAATAATACAGTTACTAATTGCAGTGTCAGATTCTATTAAATCGAATAAAAAACCTCTAGATCCACGTCAATAAACACAATTCTTCAAAATGACACAAATTTCGCTCTACCAGTGTAATTTTTTATAACCGTTTCAACAAACCACTTCTTTCCCAATAAAGAAACAATAATTAGTAATTTCACTACAGTCATTCGTGGTTACTATTCTAAAAATTAATAAATAATTTCCTTATTTTTCACCGACCAATATAAATTTCTACTCAATTCGAGTTTCCAAAGATTCGTCCACAGGAACGTGAATTCGAAAAAGCACCGACAATCAACTTACTTCAACCGTCGTGTTCGTGAAGCCACCGAAACGCGTTCAACGCATATTTCACGCGACACAACTGCCATAATTTGCAAACAATTCTCAACTGTCCACGAACGGAGCCACGAGGCACCAAGAGATCCGTCCACGTAAAAAAGCCCCATGAAATCCCGTGTTTGGAATCAGTCCACGTCTCCTTGCCCCATCGAAACCGTCCCGTCCCCCCCACCCCCTGCGAGATAGGACCTCGTAGGGCCATGCAATCTATGTAGGCCAGTGTGCCCAACCGCGATCGGAAGCCCGTATGCCAGCGTTAGCGCGACACACCGCGAAGTTAGTGGTATCACCTTCGCCGCCAAGGTCTCGCCTCTCCCCGCCCATTGCCTCGTTATCAACAACCGACAACCACTTGTCATTGCGAGCGAACTTGGCATCCTTCGGTATCGTATTAGTCCACGATACGGCAGCCACGAAAGACGATCACCCCGCGCAGAAAGGAGCAGAGAAAGAAAAAAGAAAACAGGAACTTCTGGAAACTAGACAGGCGTCCCTTTTGCCCCACGTTGAACCCCCGTCGGGGTTCACGCACCGTGAGCACAGAGGAGAGAAGAGAAAGAATCCACGCACACACCTTGGCAAAAGCAGAGAAAGCCGTTGACGACGCTTATCGATCGTTATTAGGCTTTTATTAGACGGAAGTGTTGTTGCCGATGCCGAGCAAAAGGGATACATCCTCACGGGGGGTCGTGTTAACTTAAGTGAAAATATCACCAAGAGGTCCCCGGATCAGGGGCTGTTCACCGCCTCCTTTCTCCGCTTAATTCCCGCACGATCTGTCAGAGAGTCCGATCGCGGTGCTCCTCGAGGCAGGATCGGCTCTTCTCCGCCATCGAGTACCCGATCCACGGGACGGGGCGACGTTGTCTTAATCGAAATGTCACGTTGAAAATCGAATTAAATCGGTGGTACACTCACGCGAGATAACAGTGTCGTGGAGTGTTCTCCCTCGAGGAAAGACTTTCGTCTCGGACGTGTGAATAGTGATTCCAGAGTCGCAAACTGTGAAGTTTCGGAACCAGTGACATAAAATACGTGCTTGTGTTACACGTTCGAAGTCGCGTTATTGTAGAATTATTATACGGCAGTTGGGGAACACGGAGGAAACCCGTTCTTGGAAATTGCGACTTCCGAAGTTTGATAACGGTCGCACGGGAAGTGCTTAAGCGGTGAACCGGATGTCACGGTATCGTGTATCGGAGTAATCGCGTGGTCGGGAACACTGTGTATCGGCGTATATCTCGTGGAATTTTAATTAGTGTTACATTAATTGTACTCTTGTTAACAATGTTATATCGTATCGATGTATCATCTTCTACGTGACTTCTGGGACCTGACAATATCTTTGTTCGAGAAAACTAACGGAATTCACGATGGAGGCGCGGGAAAAGTCGTTGGAATGGGCGTTGCTGTTCCCTCTGAAGGCTGGTCTGTTCGCCATGAAGTCATCGTTGTCGTCGAAGAGCGTGAATCGCGAGAAAGAGAGACTGGCGAAGAAGAATCAATTATCTCCTGGCCCGAGGATACGTCGTGGATCCTCGTTGTCGGACCTGGACAAGTTACAGAGCAAGTCGATCCTGCCGGATGTGGTGAGATCGACGGAGAAGTGCTCGGAATCGTTGCCACACTCGCCTGCATTGTCCAGAACGAACCTGCAGCTGGGAAATCTGTACGTAAGAGGAAGCATAGGTGATCTGATGAACATGAAAAAGTATGGCGCATCTACGTGGAGCGTCAGGAGCGAGAGTCTGATCGCGAGAGCGGTACCTTTGAGCACGGTGACCCCCAGACACAGTCCACCGTGTGAAAACAGCGTTGAAGATCTCGAGGACGACGCGCAAGAAGAGTGGCAGATGCCAGGAAGGCCTCTAACCTGCGCGCAGAGGACCCAAAGGCTCAGCAAGCTCATCAAGAAACAGAGGCGTATGATGGTCTTGAGCCCGCGGACCTTGAAACGAGATCTCGTAAGTCGACGGGAATGGGGGAAAATGGAATTATCGAGAACATAACTTCGAACGGTGCGGAAAAAGGGTTTTTAGGTCGAGGAACTTTAAGGTTCAGTTGTGAACTACTGATTGCTGATGAAAGCTTAATGTTCTTTGGGAGATCGTGTGATCTAGTTTAGGTAGGGTATAGGACGAATGGAAATAGATGACAGTTTCTTAGTCGCACGAAAGTCATTAGATTAAGTCGTAAAGTAACTATTGTTATTTGTTTCGTTGGGTAGCGTCGTGAATTACCGATTGGGAGGAAAGCTTAATATTCTTTGAGAGATCGTGTGAATTACTTTAGGTAAGGTATAGAGTAAATCCAAATAGTTGACACTTCCTTGGTCTCACGAAATTCCAAGGTTTTTTACTGTGTTTTGCGCTTCAAAATTCCCAGGTCAGGTCGTAGATTTCATAACATGCACTCTTTTAAGATATTCCGTGCAAGCATCGGATCGTGTTGTTCGTATTTTTCCCATAGACGAGGCATTTGGGGGACGCGTGGATGGTGAAGAAATAACGTTATCGAGCGACGGCGAAGGGAGAGGGAGGAGCTGAAACTAGAAGCGGCTCGTTAAACTTGAAACAGCTTCTGCAGTCGTGGCGAGAGACACTTACGGGGGTTG